TACAATTCAAAAAGATTCAGAGGAGAAATGATTGGGTTATGAGGGCCTTGACCCAATCAGTGAATTAATCCCCCTCACGGGGGATTGAGTATAATTGAAGGCTGGTAGGATGTGGCTGGAGGAGGTGGGCATTGGGGTGTGCCTCTGGGGTGTGTGTATATATATTATATTTATGTGGCAAGTGGAGTCCCTCTCTCTCTCTGCTTTCTGATCGCCTTGTGAGCTTCTTTCCTCTGTCACACTCTGCCACCCTGATGTTCTGCCTCACCTCAAGCCCAGAGGAATGGAGCCAGATACCTATGAAACCATGAGCCCCCAAATGAACTTTCTCTCCTCTAAAATTGTTCTTGCCAGATCTTTTAGTCACAGCAGCATAAAAGCCGACTGAAACATATATGATGGGGAGGTTCGCAACATTATCCATGTCTCCCCACATCCCAAATAACTTACCTTTAGAAATGACATCTAAGTGGGATTCCAAACCTCTTTGGTCATGCAAGAAACCACTTTATTCATCTATCTAGTCACTTATTGGCTTATTTATTTCTTCACTCATCTCCTTCACTCATTTGATTAAAATTAAGATCTCAACAAGGCCAAGGGTTTTTTGTGGGTTGTTCACTAGAACAGTGCCTGTGAAAAGCTATGAATCTTTGAACTCATTCACTCTTTCATTCCACTTATGTTTACTGGATCCCTAACATGTTACAGGTTCTCAAGGTCCAATCAGAAAATTTCACTGTAAATAAAGTCACATCATGAGAAATCTTTAAGTTAGAAAAACCAGATCATATTTTTCTCACTCTAATTCAATCAAAATTTAAAAATAAGAGGACAGTTCTCTGCCCACCCAAAAAGAATGGCAGAAGAAAATGTAGGCCAGAATGGTATATATTTCCAACTTTTTGGCACATGTCCCAAAATGATGTAACACACACACATGCATCAGTGGGGAGTGGATGAACTACCAAAAGATAGGACCAATGATCCCTACAAGAATGAATGGAAGAGATCTATAATTTTGACTGTGGTAGATTTGACATAAATCTATACCTGTGATAAAACTGCAACCCCCCCCCACCCCAATGCATGTAAAACTGGAGCAATCTGCATAAAGTTGGCAGGTTGTACCATTATCAATTTCCATAATTACTATTGTAAGATGTTACCAATGTTGTAAGGGATGAAGATCATAAAAAAAATCTCTTATTTTGCAATTTTATGTCAAACTATAATTACTTCAAAGTAAATCAATAAAATTAAATAGCAGTTTGCTATGAAAGTGATGCAAAATATTAGACCAAAACAGATACTCAATAATGGGGTAAACCTATATGACAGTATATTGCATGATTTAAAAAAAAACACATTTCTATGATTGTGACATGAAAGGTGTTTGCATTCAGAAAGCAAAAGAAGTAGGACTTATAAAACATGCAAATACAATCTAATCTTCTTTTTTTAAAAGTATGTGGGGAACAACATTTATACAAGTATATGCCAAATGCCATTGGTGTCTACTTCTATGTTAGCATCATCGGTGATTTTTTATTATTTCAGGGTGATTTTTTATTATTTCAGTTTTGCTTCTCCATTTTTTCTACCCTTATTTCTCAAACGAACAATATTATCTAACAAGTATGTAAAAGGCCATCTATCCTATGTGTGTGATTCTGATAAATTCTGCATAATTCTGAAAAAGAATCAGGACAAATGGAAAGATTACATGGAAAGACATTTCAGTTCTGTGTAACAATGCATTGAGCTCTCTCCATGAGCCACTGAACATGAACCACCACCTGTGAGTCCACTGCTTCTAATGGGAATGGTATCTACCAGGGCCTGGCAAATTCCTTATCAGTAATTATGTGGAAGGGAGTATGGCTTATGCAGGCTGAGAAGTTGGGTCTGATTCTAAAACTGCCTTCCAATTCTAAAACTCTATGCCTTTTGATTTTGCAATGAATTTAACAGACAACACCTCTCATTTTAAAAGCCCTTTTTATGTTTCAAAGCACTTTCACATATGCTGTTTTATATTAGCCTTAGTCCAGTACTTTTTAAAAATCCTGTCCCTATCACACATATGTAGAATAGGAAGAACAGATATTATCACCTCCATTTTACTGAAGGAAAAACTGAGGCAAGAGCAGAGTAATCTCTTTTCATACTTTGAGGCAAGTGAGATGAAAAATGAGTTATGAGAGCATACATTTCTCTTGCCTTATGGCTCCACCCCTTTCCTTTAAACACTGTGTAGCTTCTCCTTTTCTACTGGGGTTTGCAAACTGGATAGAACTGGTAACAATATTGCATGATGAATGTCAGTTAAATGAAAAACTAAGTTTTGATAGTAAGTATCAATGATGATAATACACATCTGGTTGATTCCACTAACTTACATCAACTCAGTCAAGGTCGAATAACCAATATGTCAATTTGACTCAAAAATCATGATCAATAAAACCAATTAGTTGACACGAACACCCAAGAGGCTGCTGAGCCTAGGGATCTCAGTCAATATATTTGCCTTATACCTGTGTCTTTCATAGTTGCAGGTAAGGAGTTCGAAAGTTGGGCTGCGGGGCCAATTGAATAATGAATGGGATCCATACGGGACTTAATGAAGCAGGGCTTTGTTCCTTTTACCAAAGGAAAATTAAAAGAGGAATTTTGTATTTATTTTACAGTGGCAGCAGATTAAGCACTTCAGTAATAATGTGGCAATTCATCAAAAGAGGTCTTAGTTAGGTGCTATCTGAAATCATGAAATTAAGTGGGAAAACATACACATGGAAAGGTTTATATGTTCTAAAAAAATAATCCAAACTTTAGATAAATGATAGTCTTCATAGAGTATAGTAAACAAATGACATATTTTCATTGGCTGATTGAGCCCTTTATACACATATATCATTTCCTGTGTGCCAAACCCTCTACCTAATACCTCTCCTCATAATCACCCCCATGCAAATCATTACAGAGGAAACCCGAGGGTCACTGAGGTTGAGGGCACTTCCTCCAAGTCATGTAGACACAAGGGGAAGTGATAGGATCACAACCCAGGTCTGATGACTCCCAAACAAGCACATTACCCTTATTACTTATTCTCCTAAAACCTTGAGATTATGTATATGCTCTTTTTAAAGCAGGAAGTCACTAAGGTGGCATGATACACTACTTCAGGAAATACAGAGTTAACCTGGGAACAACTGGAGAATGATGGGAAACAGAACACAATAACTGCTGATAGAATCTATTATCCATATTGTCAGTACATTAGTATGGGAACTGACTATTGATAATAAATTATTGAAAAAGGTATGATAATGTCACAGAAGCTTTAAATACTTTTCTGTTCAATGACATAAAATTCAGTCTACAGAATTTTAACTATTCACTCATTTGACAAACAGTTGAGTGCCTACCATATTCCCAGCTCTGCTAAAAGCAGAGAAATTTCTCCAGTGATTGAGACAGACAAAAGTCCCAGACTTGATGAAGTTCACAAAAGCTCCACAAGAAAATGAGGTAGTAGAAAGAAAGGGCGAGGCAGAAGACTTTGTTGTATGTATATATATATGTGTGTGTGTGTGTGTGTGTGTGTGTGTGTTTACTTATTTATTTATTTATTAGTTTTAGGTGGACACAATATGTGGTGTGAAGGATAAAACCCAGTTCCTCACGTGTGCTAAGCAAGCATTCCACCACTTGAGCCACAACTCCAGCCCAAGACTTTGGTTTTAATCCTGGCCAGATGGCCTTAAGCAAATTATTTGAATCTCTCTGAGTCTCAGCTCCCTTACTTCTAAACTGAGTATAATAGTATCTGTTTTTATTATATCATTTTTATTAGGAAAAATACTAGTTTATATGTGAAAAAAAATCCTACTTAGTCTTTGGTCTTGGAGAAACTGAGGTAGTTGATGAGGCATAAAAGTTTTGTCCTCATTATTAAATCCTTCAAAATATTTTATTCCATATTTTCCATGATCTAAGCTTTCTGGGTTTAATGTTAACCATGTGTAAGACTTGCTGGGTCACCATAAGGTCACTCTTCTATACCTAGCCACCAATTTCAAAGTCTGTGTTATAGGCTTACGATGCCATAATTATGTATGTTTCCCCTTGTTGTGGAAGGAAGCAGGATTTAAATTATATCTTAGTGATTATTTCATTTACACACTTCTAGAGATGCTGTTTCCTAACTAGTTTTTGAGAAACAAATCCATTACAATTGATTATTATAAAAATCTTCCAGTAAGATTTTCTTTCTTTCATATATTCTTGCATGCTACTGTTTCACTGAGAGTGTAGAATAAGAGCTAGGTGTATGTGGGTGTGTCATAAGAAGGACCATTTCTCAGCATTCAGGCTCCACTTTGTTGATTAAATCAGAAAAATCAATCAGTTCTAACCCTAAATCTCTTCTTACCTTACTTTCTCCCTTCACCTTGGTGCGTGGGTGGGGGATTCCTAAACTATTTTTATCAGCTCAGCAAATCAGAGTTCTGCTTTCTAAACAAAGAGGTGCCAACCTTGAGACTCTGAAAGCAAACACAAGCCAGGCATTGTGCACAAGTGAAAAGAATATAATTAGCAAAGTTATAGTCACAATTAGGAAATACCTCCTCAGAAAAGTTTCCACTTAACTCTGAGCAGCGCTCAAATTACCATTGTGCTTGAGGCCTCTGTCTCTTGGCTGACTCAGACCTCTGTGACAGATCTATGAATACCAGCACCTTCCACAAAACACAGGCACAAATTCTAATGCTGGATGTGTGTGTGTGTTTTTTTTTTTTAATAACAGATGTGGATAATGTGCAAATTGAGACACCAAAATTAAAATTTAAAAAATAAGAAACATAGTCTCACAAATGTCAGGTATTAGCCAAATTATTCTTTCACCATGCTTTTTCTTCACCTTCTCCAGCCCTTTCCCCTTTGCCACCCTCAGAGAGAGGTTAGGAAAGATGAAGAAAGCAAAAATGTATACTCACTTCATCTCCAGGATCTCCTCCAGCTGTTTCCTCCTCTCTATCCGCAGGTTGGCCAAGTGTGCTTCTTTCTCAGCCAGGGACTGCTGTGTAGAGGCAAGGCGAGCTTTGGTGGCATCCAGTTCTTGCCTGGTTTTCTCCAAGGCATTCATCAGTTCCTCTATCTGAAAGGCACATGGAGCTGTGAATGTGATTGCTCCTTCATTCAAGTATAAGGCATTCCTGACTACCCTGTGTTCCAATGGTAAATACAAAGAAATTGTGGGTGCTCTTGAAGTAGAGACACTGTTTCCAGGAGCTCTCTCTTTATCACTGATTAAAAATAAATGTTTCTAACACTGTAAATGTCCATTTTGGGATGGGATAGAGTTCAGTAGCAGAGGACTTGCCCAGTACACACAAGGCCCTGCATTCCAAGCCCAGGACAGCAAAAACAAAAATAAAAGTCCATATTTCTCCAAGGCTCACCTTTGAGTCCACTGTTTAATATCTATTCTAGAAGTAGGGGTGAGTGATTTGACCCAATTTCAACCCACGTTTGGCAAAATTCTCAGCTACTTCCTTGCAGTTAGAGGGAGGCAACACTCAACACAGTTCTCCTGGCACAATCTACTCCTGTGTGTAGACTCCAGGGTACTTTGACAGGAAGTTAATCGATGTGTTTCAGATTCACTTATGTTTTAACCTATCAAAGCCTTGTTTGGTCACAGCTATTTGATGTCCATGGGCCTCAGGAGCCCCTCTCACCTCACCTCCCAGACTTATATTCAGGAAGCAAGATTTGGCCAAAGGTAAACAGAATTCCAGCCACAAAGGGTTCAAGTTTGGTTTGCCCCTGAAGTTTGAGAGGGTTCTAAACTTGAAATAAATGACATGTAACTTTTATAGGGTGCTAATACACCATAGAAATAAGCCAGACTATCAAATATCCAGGGTTTTTCAGCCAGGTCCCAAAAATTGGACTAGGGAGCCCCGTGGCAAGGCCTTACTCTCCCCAAACCATTAGGGACTTTTAAAAGCCAACATACAACAAAAAGGGTTGGTGTTTATGGTTCTGTTCCAGAGACTTCCGTGGAGAAAGCTGGTGAAATGCCATGCCTTGCACAGGCTGCTTCTACTCTGCAGATTCAAAATCATGGTTCCAGGAAGTTTCTAGATTCCAGAGCTGATGTTTGAGTTTCTAAGTCACCCCTCCCCGCTGCTGCACTTGGCAGAATGGGCTCATCCATCACTAAAGTCAACAGAACACCCTTCAAAATGTGTCAATGACATGTTAAGTTTCAATTCATAAAGACTTTTTACACAATTTCTGCAGTTTTACATGGAATTTATTCAGAATAAGCATTATAGTTCACGTCCAAGGTAAATCACAAGCTTTTAAGATTCAGAAAACTCTCCATTTTGCCCTGATAGAAAGAGGAAACTTAATGACCATGCAATTTAAATCAAAGCCAAAACTAAAAACAGCTTAAAATAAAGCAAGACATATAAAGAATAATCTATGAAAGTCACAGGACCACATCTATTTAACTGTAGAATAAATAGCATTATTCTTTAACTTTATAAATACATACAATTTTAAAAAAACAATTGTGTTTTTCTTAGGTTCTCATATAAGTCATATAATATTTTAATATGACCAGGCACGGTGGGGCACGTGTGTAATCGAAGTGACTAGAGAGGCTGAATCAGAAGAATCCAAAGTTTTTACTAAGCATTTAATGAGATCTCATCTCAAATTGAAAAGATTAAAAAAGACTAGAGAAGCAGTTCAGTGATAAAGCATGCCTGGGTTCAGTCCTCAGTACCAAAAACAACAACAACAACAAAACCCATATATTACAAATATATCTAGAAACTCTTCTGCAAAACAATACTTAAGGCTAAAATAAGAGTTTTATTACTTTTTGTCCCTATTTTTTATGTACTCAATAGTGTAAAAAAATACCTATCAGAATAATGGCCATTCCACAGACTAATTCATATAGTCTGCCTGACCCTCCACAGGAGATGGTCTTTGCCTCTTGACCCTGTCACAAATTATTATTTATTTCAAACATGATACTGATTCCAGAATAGACAGGAAAGGTCTCAAGAATTCACATCTGCTGAATTCTCTCTCATTCCTTGAAACTGAACTATCTGCAATCTATAGACTCTAATCTACTCACCTGGACTTCCAAGTTACTAATTCACTTGCCATCAGACTTCTTGGGCAAACACCAGGAGTTCTATGGTAATCCATCTTTAAATAATTACATTTTAGAGTAACACCTTATAGTTGTTTCAGCTATAACCACACAAAGAAACCTGGACACTTAGGATATGTAATCCAGTGTTTTAACTGATGGAAATGCCATTGGCTCCCAACATCAATAATGCTTAGTCCCATGTAAGAATGTTGTTCCCAACACCTTGGAAGTAGAGTCATTAAAAGAGTTGCAGGCCAAGGCTTCCAACTCATTCCAATTGATATGGAAGTATTGCACATTAAGGACCATAAGGTACACTGTAACTTTTTGTAAGCAACCATTCAAATCTCAGAATCTCAGTTTCCTAGACAATGCCCATGGTTCTTTCTATGTTTAATGTTTTATTAGAGTTCTGCAAAATGTTTCCTTTATTGCCAAAGCAGAAGCATTTAAAGTAAGAAATGTTTTCTTGCTGTGGTGATCATTAGGATAGCCTACAGTATTTCAGTTGTCCTCCTTATGGACACATGGTAAAACTACACCTTCCCTTTCCCTGTGAGTATGGCTTCAGCCAATAAAATACCATCATTTTCAGGAAGAAGCATGTAGTGCTAGCATTCAATTCTAACCTTCCTTCCTCTGCGCCAAGGCAAACATAGAAGCATGTCTCAGATGACACTTCCTTTAGCCTGAATCCATAGTGGCCATAATGAAGCCCTAGGCCAACCCACATCACATAAGCAAGATATACACCTTTGTCGTGCTACACCATTACTGTAAACCGTCAAGGCTGGTGTGGGAAGTTGGAATTGGGTGCTCTGTACTCTCCACAACAGCCTTCTCTCTTCAAGAGGAAATCACTTGTTACTCTTGCTATCCCATGGAAAAGAGACTTTTGCAGGCCACTGGTAATTTCCTTTTTGCCAAATGTCTTTTCTTAATGTGCAGCTTGCACATAGCTACATTCCTCCAAATGTATCTGTCCCTTCATTAAAATAACATCTTAACCAACAATATACATGTAGTTTGTGTCTCAAAACCACCAGATTAGAATTATGGTGTCACTTACTAAACTATGTGACTAAGACAAGTTTCTTCATCTCTCTCAGTTTCAGTTTCCTCATCAGTAATATGGGCACCATGTGGCATGCCTATTAGTTGTCTGTGGGCACTGAAGTGCCCACATGGCCCATAATCATTTCCTCTTCTCACTGATATCAAGAAAATAAATTTTTCTGATAATACAAATAAGGTACACTTATTACACAGAATAAGAAAGCTGCTGATATGAAAACTTCAAAATTTTTTAAGTCAAATAACATTCTTTTCAGTTAAGATCTACCTACATCTCACCACCTAGAAATAAACACTATAAACAATTTTTTCCAGCTTCTCCATCCCTCTCTATGTATGTACATATTTAATTGAGATGCTATATATGAATATATCCATATAAAATAAAATATTATGAACAACTAATGTATTGTGAGCATTCTCCATTTGTCACTAAAGATTCTTTTGGAAATCCCATTTTAATCTGTCAGTGTTCTACCCAATCCCCATTTTCCTAAACCTGATGCTGTGGTCTGAATGCTGTATCCCCCCAAATTCATATGTGCAAATTCTAACCCCTAAGGTGATGGCATAAGGAGGTGAAGCTCTTGTGAGGAGTTAAGTCATGAGGACAGAGCCCTCAGGAATGGGATTAGTGCCCTTACAAAGGACATCCAAGGAAGTTTGTTTCTTCTCCCACTATGTGAGAGCACAGAAGTCAGTATCCACAACCTGGAAGAGGACTTGACCATGCAGGAACCTTGATGTAGGACTTCCCAGCCTCCATAACAGTGAGGAAGAAATTTCTGTTATTTATAAATCATTTTGTTTATAGTATTTTGCTACAGGAATCAAAATGGACTAAGATGCATAGGAACCTATTTTTCCTATTTGCTTTGCAAACACTTCAACTCCTTGCAGTCCATCACTGGGTCCTTCCCCAGGTGACACTGTCCTAGAGACACTTTATCATCTATACAGATACTCAGGAGATGAAGTCTGTCTTCACAGTTCTCACCTTCATGCAAATGCCTGTTCAAACTTTCACTTTCTCCTTTCACTCATTCAAACTCTTTCACATGTACCTGTCAATCCCTGGCTCATCTTGACTGGTAAACCATCCAACCTCTTATCAAGTGCTCTGTAGCTGCTTCCATCTTCCTACTGCCTCTGGATCACTTCAATCTGCTTATCTTAATATAACATTAAATTGGAGATGACCAAAGGCTAACTTCTGATCCATGCACATCTGCCTAAAAAAAAAAAAAAATCCCTATAGCCTTGCCCTCTCAATGTCACTCCCTAACATATGCACCATTTTGGTCTCATGCCCTGAGTTTTTCCCCAATCACTCATGTTTGAGTTAAATTTATCTCTTCCTTTTCCTTCCTATTTTCCATGTTACCACATCCAATACCTCTGTTTTGGAAATGCTTATTGGATCCATCACTCCCTTTGATCATTAGTATAATATTCCCCATATATGATAGGATTTAAAGTACACACACACACACACACACACACAGTCTTAGCCTCTGTCCCTACCTCTACCCTAAGTGGTCTGCTCAGCTTCTCCCATGTAAGAGTAGCCACATCTGCTTCTGGATTTTATGAAATAGAATTAGCAAATGGGTAGCAGAGTGTACATATAGGAATAGGCTCTAAAGAGCAGACAAAAAAGATTTCTATAACAGAAAATAGAATGAAGTAAGGGAAGAAAGAGAAAGAAAATCATTGAGGCTGGGGAATATGGTGAAGTTATTTTTTTGCCTTAGTACAAAATAAGAGAATTGGGGAAGAGAGAAGGAGGAAAAAGCAAAGTTGGTAAGGGTACTCGTGGGGCTCTTACAAGGCTTTCTAAATTTGTAAATTGAAGGTTAGGCTTCTTTTTTTTCCCCCCAGCATTTTTGGCTGTGTCT